TTTATTGAAAGCTTTAAAAACCAAATTTGAAACAATTCCCTAAAAGAATGTGGTTAAAACCAATAAAATATCAAATGTCGGGTGATACCGTCATATGGGGGCTATTCCTAGGGAAGGGCCTATTTGTAACTCTTTTTGACTGAGAGGTTGATATACATATATTAAGAAATTCAAATGACAAAATTCAAACAATTCCACTGATAAATGTGGCTACAGTCAAAATACCTAATATTGAGAGGTATCGTTAAATGCGAGCGAATTTAACCTGTCTGGAGACAAAAGATTATTCTGTACGAAATATTAGCTTCCTACCATGAGTCGTTTGGACCCTTGCTTGATTACAAGATATGCACGGACAAACAGACCGACAGGGCTTAATCATCTTAGAATTATATGCTGATGACGAGTATGTATACTTTGTGAGTTCTAAAATGATTATTTCTATGAACTGCAAACGAAATGACAGATAAAATGGTGGAGGGCATTAAAAATTAATTGAATCAAACATTCATGTTTCTTATTTCAATTTGCCTTTTTATTTTCGGATTGAAATCTCCTAAAAAATACATAATTAATGACATTTACGATTTCTCCCTTAGATCTCATTTCGAATTGATAAAAATAATATTACATTAAAAACCTTAGATAATCTCCCACAAATGCTACTCTATTAATTACGGGACTAAAAATACAAACATTTCACTAAATTCAATATTAACAATGCCTAATTATTCAATTTTCCCATCCACCTTTGTAATCCAATATAATTCCAGTCTTGCGTGAGTGTTGTGTTTTTTTTTTTCATTTTCCTTCAAAGATTATTTTAATTAGTCCTAATTAGCTAATTACCACAATTGGCAAAGTTCTCCCCATTGGTCAGAGTTGTTGGTGTATATTTCAATTTGTGCTAATTTTATGCCGTTTCTCTGGGCATAGACATCATGTTATTTGGCTGATTTATTATTCATTTGTGTGAATTATTAACGGGATCACAACGGGCCAACTGTTGGGTATGTTAAATATGTCTAATGCTAAAATGGTATCACACACACACTCACTCACTCACCTACAATGCATATTTTATGGGTTTTGTTTGGTAATTATGACCATTATGACAAATGTTTGAGGTTTTTATTGTGGAATTCAAAGCGTTCGATAATAATTCAAACAAAAATATTTTTACGATAATTCGTTTATAATAATTGGGTTCATGGTAGAATTACAAGGTAGCCCTATCAGGCCAGCTGTAGGCAACTTAATATGTCAAACAAATTGTTGTAATTCGAATTCGCCTTACATATACACAAAGAGAAAAAATATAGCAAATAATTATTCACATTGAAAATTTTGGAATAGTAAATTTTGAGGTATTGTATGGTTTGTAAAAGAACGTATATTGGAGGACAAGCTAAGTCCAATACTTTCCTTAAGTTAACATTTGTATAAATGCATTCATGATTGTCGTCACGAGTCACACAAATAAAAATCGCCAAGCAATTCCCTTTATCCATATCTAGAGGCAGTTATAACAAATATAGTTCTTGTCTGTTTCCTAATATTCAGCATTATAAGATTTCTTCTCTATCCTTAAAAATTGAAATTGCAAACCAATTTTAAAAAGAAAGAACCCTTATAATATTCCGAATGGACATTTATTGATAATGATGAGGGCTAAAGTAAATCATAACAGCTTCACGATTATAGACTGTAGAAGTTATTCAAAAAACACGAATTGAACCGCAAATATGTTTTAAAAATCTGTTATTTAAGAACCGCAGTTATCCTTAAAATAGCCGCAATTTGAGACCCTAGGATATTCTTTAAACTTTACGAATTGAGATCCGGAATTTTTCTTCAAAATCTATATCACAACAAAACAAAATGTTCTTGCAAAAATTGATTTTTTTTAAATTTCAATGAACCAAAACAAATTATTTAATGTCTCAAAATAAAATGTTCTGATTGGTGCATAACAATTTACCCCCGATTTATATTTGTCAATTGAATTCGCCTTGCTTACAATTTTGACATATCAAGTTTCCAGAAAAGTTGCTTTGTTGTAATTTTCGCCTATGTTGCTACCTGGTATTTCTACCATGATTGGGTTTATTGGCCACATAAGTTGGATATTCAGTGCGGGAATTATAGCCTTTGCCAAAACTATGGAAAATGTATGAAAAGAGGAATAATCGAGAATTTTTTATGGTTATCGATTATTGCAAATATATTGTCAACACTCATAACATTTTAAGAAAAGGAATAAAAAATTACATGATGATGATGATAGGAACAAATTTCAAGGTTAAAAAAAAACATTAGCAGCGTCTTTGATAGAATGTGAACCTTAAATATATCTTTTTTCGAGAGACACTTAAAAACTTCTTCTGGTATTACAAATGGAATTGATAAAACGTCATTCCAAAATGAACAAATTTGAAATACATGGTATTTTTTAAACTTTTGAGCTGTGGTGTATGAGGAGTGCGATGTGCGAAGATTGGACCGAATTCGAATAGTTAGTTTAGATTAACTTCTAATGGGCTATTCGACTCATATTGAGATGCGGTTGTTTTTGGAAGCGTTAGACTGGATTTTTGTACCCTTCGGAACAATAAGAAATTGTATAAATGGTTGGTAGGTGATGTCAATTAACAAATAAAAGTAAAAAGCAGATAAGTTCGGCCGGGTCGAACTTTTAATACCCTACAACATTTGAGAGGAACTTGAAAATTTAAAAAAAAAATCGAAAACTACCTTCTAGATTAAAACCATTACATGGGGACTATACGAAAACGTGAACCTGCATAAGAAATTTTTTGTCATAGGCTGTGATACCCATTACGAACTGCAAATAGGAAATTTGATACAATTCCATTGAATAATGTAGCACAAATCATGAAAATACTGAATATTGGTAGGTACCGTTATATGGGGGCTATACGAAAACGTGGACCGACATGGCCCGTTTACGAACCCAATCTGCCTACTGGTAAACTAAGCATGTATGCAAAATTTAAGCCTTCTATCTGAATTCGTTCGAAAGATAGCGTCATTACAACAGACCGACGGACATCGCTTAATCGTTTCAGAATTTTACGCTGATCCAGAATATATTTACTTTGTATGGTCTATTATAAATATTTCGAGGAGTTACAAATGAAATAACAAAGCTAATATATCCTCCATAGAATGGTGGAGAATATAAAAATACCATTATACAGGGTGAGATAAAAAAGCAACAAAGTCCCATGCCATAATTTTTACATTTTTTTTTAAATTTTATTGAATGAAAGCAAACGTCGGAAATAGCATCAACTTTTAGAATAAGTTTAGATTTGTTCGAATTGGTCACCTTTGGCACGAATTATGGCCTTCAAACGGCCAATGAAACCGTTGCACGCTGTCCGAATATTGCTCTTCGGTATTTTGGCCCATTCCAGCGAAGCCTTTGTTTGAGGTGATCGACACTTTGGTATTTTTAAGTGCCAACCTTGCTTTCCACAATAGTCCAACGGATTGGTATCCGAAGATTTTGGTGGCCATTGTGCGCTGGAAATGAAGCGAGGAACCTCATTTTGTAACCATTTTTGGGTTACGCTTGCTGAGTGCGATGGTGATGGAGTCCTGTTGGAATTTTCAAGGTCTGTTGCCAAACTGTTTGCATGCCCAAGGCTGTAACACACCCTCCAGAATATTTTCGCGATAATATTCGGCATTTATTATAATGCAACGGTCGATTAATACGAGCGGAGAACGACCATCGGCTGTTATGACGGCTCACACCATCACCATGGCCGGCGCTTGAGTTCTGGTGGCCAACCGAAGGTGCACATTTCAGCTGACCTCTTTGACAAGTAAACACGATCATTTTGTTTGTTTATGTTCAGCTCACCAGCCATTTTTCGGCCACTGCGACGCGGGTTTCGATCAAGTCGCTTCTTTACTTTCCGAACCATTTCTGCTGATGTAGATGTTTTGTTTCGTCCACTTGCTTGACGTCGGGCTACGGTATCAGTCTCACAGTAACGTGCGATGGTACGAGACACAAAAGATTTATTCACATTTAAATGCTGGAGACCTCTAACCGTAGCCAATTTCGATTTTTCAGCCAAATATAAAGAAATTACACTATCACGCTTGAATTCCATCACCAATAACTTTTTTCTGGAAAATTTCAAACAAAATGCTTTTGTACTCTTGTAAACAGTGTTGTGAGCTGTCACTGGACTAATTTTAACAGCTGTCGGACGAGTGGCTTTGAAATGACAGCAGTGTGAAGTTGGTTGCAGTTTGTTCGTCTCACCCTGTATATTAAGACAATGGTTGTACTATTTTCCAAAAAATAAAGAAATATGTGCTGATTATTTTAGTGACCGCTAGTTAATACATTAAGTTAACATAACATTTTAGGCAGAAAGTGTCAAAAGATGAATAATTCTACACAATATTTCACTATCAATCTCAGAAAATGCGACATATATGTAGGCATAGTGGTTTTTAAGAAGATTTTTTGATTTATAAATAAATCTTTCTATATCTATATATCTATCTAATCTATATATATGCATAGTAGGGTCTTAAAACATTAAATATTCATTTCATCACTTCTTGATATCAAAAAGATACATGTACCACAAACTATACACTATCTGATTTCCAACTTCATAACGATTGCATGTTTACTTCCATTCTAGGTTAGAGATCCACTCTTTTACCATTATATAAAAATCTTAAATTTAGTTTAAAGTCTTCTCCGTACACTTAAATATCCCAACAAACGTTGCAAATTATGTAAAATATTTAATAGCGATGACATGGAAACTGTAAATATTTCGCAGGAAAAAAAATGTCACAGGAAATGCCTCGGGCTTTTATAGTTTGTGGTGTTTTGTTTCGTTTTATTTTTCCTGCTCTTTTTTATTTTCTTTGCAAATTGTTTCTAAGTATATGCTAATTTTTCTTTTGCATTCTTTTCTCCACCATTCTCTCCATCCTAACAGCCCGTGGCAAGAAGAAGGAAAAGAAGAAGTATTTGATGCCATTGTTGTTGCTCTTCAAATTGAAAATGGCCGCATTATTGCCCCTGGCAATTGGTTTCTTGGCTTTGTTGTCATTCAAGGCTTTGGTCATTGGTAAAATCGCATTGATTTTGTCCTCCATCATTGGTCTGAAGAAGCTGTTGGAGAAAAAGGAAAACTATGAAGTCGTCTCGCATCCCCACTATGATGAACACAGTTATGGACGTGCGTTACGTGATGCCCAGAATTTAGCCTACAGTGCTTACAAGAAATAAACGACGTTGACAGCTTAGCAGGCGACGGCATAGTACAATGATGGGCTAGCAAGAAAAACAAGATTGGAATTCTGGGAAAATATAATTTTTTAATATTTTCCTCGGTATTCTCCATGGTATATTTATTACTTTTTTTTTAATATTTAATGTCTAAGAGCCTCTGGGAGTGCAATACATCCTGATAATTTATTTATTTATTAAAGCGTTTATTTTTTGTATTTATTTATTGATTTAATTTAATAATTTATTATTGATGTGCAGATAATTAAACAAAAAAAAAAAATCATAGGAAAACTGAAACTGACAAATAATAGCCATTTTTTTGTTTCATTTTGCTGGATCAATTCAGCGAATGAATATCAAAGCGTTTAAATGAGAAAAAAAAAATAAAAAGAATAGTAACAATTTGTTGTTGTATCAATAGAATATAAGTTTAAAGTTTCTACCAAAAGAACAAACAATAACCATTTAAAACAACTCAATAGCTTAAACTGTTTTTCTTTTAGTAAATTAATTAACTCACGCACACTTGATACTTGTTTTTACATCTACACAATTTCTACCACAACTACTGCAACAATCTGACTTGGTTCACACTCACCGAATACCTCTTTAATCCTCTGGAATGACTGATGCTAACTAGGTATCTAGTTCATAATACTGTTACAATAGCTTTTGTTTTTTGTTTAATTTTATTTTTGTTATAGGCTATTTTCTATCTACCTACTACTGTCACTTTTACTATGAAGCTTTATAAATCCATTCAATATGATTTTCATTGAATTAAAGTGCAAAACTATTACAAAAAATATTTTTGTTTTATTTAACATATGGTTAGTTGTTTTCTTCTTCTATAACCTATTGAATAAATCGTATTTCTAGGATTATTGCAAGAGGATTATGAATAATGAAAAAATATTGCTATGGAGCAAGGCTAGGCAAAGAGTATCCCTTGGGATATCTGTGTGTTCACCAACACAATTGTAAAAAATAAATTGTTTTGAATTTTCTGTCAAGTTGGTTTTGGGAGAATATTTATTTTTTTTCGAGCAGTCGATGAGGAAGGTGCTGTCGGATATTTTTATGAATACACCGTAAGAAATATTGGAGCACATAAATATATCTTACTACATATTTGAAACAAATATTTGCGAAATTGTAAAATTACGACTTTTAAGATTTATCTTTTCTTACTGAATTATATTTGACAAAATTTGCATACGAATTCACATGTTAGAAATAGAAATGCATTTCATATTGTTAGACAAATTTATAGTCCTACCAAATTAGTGGACATTTTCATATCCCTTGATTGTTCTGAAATGGTACATACGTTGATAAAATAACAGAATGTGATGTTTGTCATTCTGTTTGTGATTCATAGAAATAATCTTTTAGGACCCAACGCAAAATATGATTTTCTGATCAGCATAAAATTCTACGACCATTTCCGTATGCCAGCCTGTGAAAATCGGTATTAAAGGTAAAGGTAAGGTAATAGAAATTATATTTTAAGACCCAACGCAGGATATGATTTTCTGACCAGCATAAAATTCTACTAGTATTTGCGTATGCCAGCCTGTGGTAATCAGTATAACTTTATAAAGGGTCAACATAGATGGTTAGCATGTTATGTCCGAAATTATTAAATAAATATAACATCAAAATTATATAAAATTTCTGAAAATGTCAACTTTATTTGAAATAATTGTGCAAATATTTCTCCGAATTGTCTGTCAAAATATTATTTTTTTACCAACGAAGTTGTTTTGAAAACAGAAAATTTTAAATTGAAAATTTAAAGATAACAAATTATTTCTCACTCTGTAAAGAGAGGCAAAAAAACACTTGCAATATTTTGTTATTTCAAAACACATACAATCACAAACATTTTTTGAGGCTCTCTGCCTAGCCCTGCTATGGAGATATGTGAGCATTGGAGAAAATATGAAACTATTAAAAAACTACATAACAATTTACGAAAATAAAGGAAAAGGAAAAGGCGTCAATTTAAAAACAAATGAACAAAAGTATTGAAAGTTATTTTGCCTTTATATATTGTGAAACAAAATAATTTAAATGCAAATATTAATTGATTTTCACTAATTTCGATTATGAAATAAATATGGATACTATTATTGGGGTATTACGAACCCCAAATACAATAAACATTTGATTCCGTTAAAAAACATGGTGATATAGGGTAAGTGCGCCTAAGGTCGGCATGTCCCATTAGTCGGCAGTTTTGAAATTTAAACTTAAATAACTAAGAATAGAGTTGACCAAATAATGAAATAATTGCAAAAAAACGTCAACAGTGTTCTCTGCTCTCTTTCTGTAAAAATAAAGACAATGAGCTCCGATCATTTATTACGAGAGAATAACGGTTTTCGTCAGTGAGTGTCTTCCAACGCATGCGATAGTGCTTGTTTGTAAAGAAAAAATTAGTGGTGGTGTTAACTTAATAATCGATTTAAGAACATTAAATTTAATACTTTTGGAATCAGAACTATTTTATAAAAGTAAATAACAGTCTAAAAATCATTTTATAACTTAAAAAATTTGCAAATCAAGCATTTTTCTGTTCAATTATTTAATGCCGACATTAAGAACAGAAAAAAGAGATTTGCCAGTAGTCGGCAAGGGGGTTCCGATTACTAGAAAAATATAATTTTTGACCTATTTCACCAAAACTTGAGAAAACTATTAAAAAAATATCCAAAAACTACACAAATAAAAAAATATTTTTGTGTCGGCAGTTGTTTTATTTGTGCTTTTTGATCAACTTTTCTAAATTAAGTAGGTTTTTTAAATCAGCTATTTGACATTTTAGATAGCGGTGGCATTTTTGAAGAAAGGAAAGATCAATTCACAAAATTCCAAATATAAGAAAGGTACTTTTTTCTTTTTTATTTAATCTCATTTTTATTTTAATTGATGGTAACCATATTATTCTTGATTTTCTACCTACATTTGGTTTAGAATGATAATTAAATAAAACTCTATTTAAAAACGAAATTAATTAATTGAACTGCGAATTAGTAATATAGCACAGTTTTATACTATTAGAAAAAAAAAATAATAATATTTTTTTTTACTGAAATACTATATGCCGACTACTGGCAAATAGACATGCCGAGCATTGGAAAATGGTGCCGACTACTGGCAAAAAACAACAATTTTAGTAAAATTGCAAATTTTGCCAATTAAAAAAAAAAAAAAATTCAATTGTTGTTTATTATTTCGAAAACTAAACAAAATTTGGAATCTGAACAACTTATTTTTTCTGCAATTGAAAGATTTCACTCAGTATGTTGAAAGATTGAAACATTAAAAATTCTAAAAGTGCCGACTACTGGTACACTTACCCTATTCAAAATACTTAAAATCGGTTGCAAGCATTTCATAGGGGCTAATTCCAAAGTAAGTTATGTTTTTGCCGTTCTTGAGTTATGAGCGTAGTAAATGTTTACAACTCAAGAACAGCAGGCCTCATTTTGGCAAATTCACACCGTTTCGAATAGTGTTTTGACAGAAAAGGATAAAATACAAAAAATAAAAAAAAGTAAAATCACAAATAACAAGTAAGCAAAGGATAAAGTCGTGCTAGGCCGACCATGTGATACCCTACAACACTACAATACGTTGGAAGCATATGTCCAAATTCATTTTGGAAGATTTCGATATGGAAATAATGTCATAGCCGCCTGCCCAGATGTTACCCTTATTTACGCACTCCGCCGTGTTGTTATATATTCAAAAAAAAAAAAAAAAAAAAAAAAAGTGTAAGTTCGGCCGGGCCGAACTTTTAATGCCCTCCACCATTTGGTACAAATTTGGCATTTTCCAAAAAATAAAATCCGTTAAAAATTCAGCTAAAATCTTAAGAATACCGAATGCTTATACGACGACGTGGGCCTGCATAAGCAACATTTATCATAAGTTATTACAATATATAAATGCAAACTTGAAGAAAAATCTGTTTCTAATGTAGCTAAAATCATTAAAATACCGAATATGGGGGGTACCGTTATATGGGGGCTATACTAAGACGTGGACCTGCACAGACAATTTTCTGGCATGGGCTGAAGTATCCATTACGAACTTCACATGCGAAATTTGAAACAATCACGGTAAATAATGTCGCTAAAATCATCAAAATACTGAATATCGGGGGGTACGGTATATGGGGGCTATATGAAGACGTAGACCTATATGGCCCATTTTCTGTTTTATGCTGCAGTATCTATTACGAACTTCAAAATTTGGAACCATTTCGCTAAATAATGTCGCTAAAATCATCAAAATACCGAATATCGGGGGGTACCGTTATATGGGGGCTATATGAAAAAGTGGACCTACATGGCTCATTTTTTGACTTAGGATGTGGCATCCGTTACGAACTTCAAATCCCTAATTTTAAACGATTCCGGTAAACAGTGTCGCTAAAATCATCAAAATACCGAATATCGGGGGGTACCGTTATATGGGGGCTACACGAAGACATGGACCTGCACAGATAATTTTCTGTCTTAAGCTGTAGTATCCATTACGAACTTCAAATGCCAAGTTTGAAACAATTCCGGTAAATAATGTCGCAAAAATCATCAAAATACCGAATATCGGGGGGTGCCGTTATATGGGGGCTATATGATAACTTGGACCTACATGGCCCATTTACGAACTTAACCTGCCTACTGGCAAAATAAACATGTCTGCAAAAATTTAGCCTTCTATCTCAAGTTGTTCGTAAGATAGCGTGATTACAACAGACGGACAGACAGACAGACATGACTAAATCGTCTTAGAATTTTACGCTGATCAAGAATATATATATTTTGTTGGGTTTGACATGAGTATTTCGAGGAGTTACAAACGGAATGACAAAATTAATATACCCTCCATAGAATGGTGGAGGGTATAAAAAAAATCACAAATGCCGTGGTCCATTTTACAGCTAAATATAATCCAATGATCATCCAATATGCTCGACATTTTTCCTGTCCCTAACTCTCTCCTTGTAGAGTGACATAACAGTAGGATTTAATTCTGACCCTAGCGCTACCCCATGCAAAATTACGTGAGGATCGGACGATAATTGCGACCTGTATATAATACCTTCAACACATAGTGTTGGGGGGTGTAGAAAAATTGTAAAAATTTACTATTCAAAATTGTTAGTCAAATTGAAAAAATCGCATGCGATAAAAAATATGATAACAATTGAAAAAAAAATGTAACAAAAAATATTCAC